ATTTTGTATTTTGATGATGAACTTCGTTCAGCTTCAAACAAATGGTTCCAAATTCAATGTATTGCAAATCTGCTACACAAATTCAACAGTTTAAGGATTAAAGGTAAATTAAATTTTGACAGGAAACTGTTACGTCTTTATTACACTAGAAAGCATTATAATTTCTGAGTCACAGAAGCGCTTTATCAAACATCTGGTTCTTGTATAAACCCTCCCCCGCCAAAAGTGTCTGTTTGCACGATCTGCAGGTAAATATTTGATGGGAACAGCAGATAAACTGTAGGTACACGCTATATACCTATACACGCCGGTATTTTCTAAAGGTTTATGTAAAAAAGGCGAGACTGTTCTACCAACCAATTTACCTATGTGATATAAAAGTTAGATAATTGATTTATGAATTCAAAATAATAGCATAAGTGTTGCCAAAGCAAACTTCGTTTCTGCTTGACTAGAAATAACTGGTTTTATCTACTATATGTCATATTGTGTCGTTATAGTAAAACATAGTAACCAACTTTCTTTGAGGTGCATAAAATATTTTTCTTTCCTTGCAACATTTAAAATACTGTCAAGAGACAGTTGATATTTGGAAACCTATAAGTTTTCATTTAAATTCTAAAACTTGAAGATTGAAATACTGTCAAGTTGGCAAACATTATCATGTGTAGAGACATAATAGGTAGGTTAGTTTAGAGAGTATTTATTGACCTTCTCATTCTTTAAATGTTGGGTCGACCTTGAATTGGGCTCTTTTATATTTGTATACGCAATACACAGTGCAAAGAACAAAATTTGCACGGATTTTGTATCTCTTATCAAAAGGACATTTCTTCTTTCAAAATCCTTCACAAGAAGTGTTGTTTTTTCTAGTAATTATTTCATGTACTTTTTTTATTTTAAAAATTAAACTATTAGTCAGCCATATGCTCTCAATTAAAGAATGATTTTCAGAGGATACGGTGGTCTCTATTTGCATAAGTGAAACTAACATGAAAATGTCACGAAACTTTATAATAAAACTATCCATTAAAACATTTTAAAGCAAAAAAAAATATGTTTTAAGAATATTTTAAACCATGTAAAGAGCAATTTAACAATACTGTTTTAATAGTTTTTTTTTAATAACAAGGGCAGAGCATCAATGATTTGGATTATACATTAAAAACTGTGTAACAGAACTAACATGTTCGTGTTGCCAACTTTTATAAATATCTTCCAATCTCCCAGTAATACCACCGGCACTATTTAAAAGTGATGGGTTTTGCAAGACAAATAGGTGTAAAATCGATTTCATGCACGATGGAATAATCATTTTTTCATATATCATTTACACTAAAAGTAGGGAATGTGTTTTAAACATCATAGTTTGACATTGCTAAATATTTCTCGTATGTCTTAGAAACGGTATAATTGTCCGCTTGATTGTCGTCCTGAAACTAGGGCAATCCTATCATATCTTAGTTTAAACATATGCATTTTAGCTCGATTGCGAAACAAGTTCTTGCAACTTATATCAATTACTTTCGAGTCTTCAACCTGGAACCAAACAGTACTGGTATCATATGAAGAAACATTGTCGTAACCTTAGTTGGGCTCGAATCCATGATTCCTGGGTTACGAGGCAGACACCTTAACCACTAAGCCACCACTTCCCTTAATCATTTATTAGTGAAAATATCATGTTGTGAGCTAGCAGTGAAAATATGATATATATGTCATTAGTATAGAACCAAACCGGCCTGAACATCCGTGCAGTCAGACAAGATTGCGAACTTTTTTCGTCTCAGTATTTGGTACTTTGATGTTGCTATCCTTTAATTTTGCAATGAACAGTTCCAACAATGTACAAGGACGAGTCTATTATAGAGTAATCGGTAAATCACGTTGACAACGTTTTTATTATAATATATATCTCCTTGTCATCTTCATATTTTTATCTTTATTTTCATATTTCTTTGAAGCTATGAAAGAATGAAGCTATGAAAGAATATTTCTTAAATGTGTGATTAGTCGGTGGAATATTATCATTACTTTTCAGAATAAACAAATAACATATGCTGATCATCACCATTCATTCCTACAGAATTAAATAGGCCCCAACAAATCCCAAACTATTTATTGTTCTTGAATACAGGCCAATTTGATGTAGACAGATGCTTTAGCATAACAATGTACCTTAAAACTATATCTGATAAGATATGATATAAAATACAATACGTAAACAAACATGGTAATAAAAGAAAATAGAAATACCTTTTAATAGAGAAAAAGATTGCTTTGGGAGATAAGCAAATATGCAAGAAAATAATCTGAGAATATTTTAAAGATTTTTGTTCTTTTTATTCTCTCGTGGCCTGTATAGTTATTAAAAATACTATTTTTATACCGCAAAGAATAAATTTCTTGTATCAAGATGAAAACAAAAACAACATTCAAATTTCTTATACTAAGAATATTTTATATTTTGATATTAATAAAGACATGTCAAAAGTGCATTATCTAATTGCAATAAAAAATGTATCCTACACAGAAAGTTCAGTTTTTTAAGCACTGCATTAAAAACAATTTCAAATTGATTGGAATGTAGTTTTTCATTTTATACATCTTATATTGCCACCATGCTATTCTATGGGACATACAGATGACTATGTTTAAATAATCTGCATATTAGATATGAAATTTTCAGCTTGAACGGCAAAAAACGGTTGACGCAGGAATATTACAAAATTGATTATTACGGTTAGTGTACTGAAATTATAACAAGTGACCTTTACAGAGTGTTGAGAAAACAATTTGAAAACAGCGGCTCTCCGCAGATATTGATTAATCATTTAAAGTAATGGAGACCATTGTAATTATACTTGATTGATCCCCGATATTGATTTACGCCATTAACTAAAGAAAACTATGATTATTTTTGATTTCATGAAAATTACGGGGGGAATTATCCCTTTCCTGTGTTTTTTCTATTGTTGTGTTATTTATGCGATATCTCTTTTTATGTTTTTGTTGTTTTTTTCTTTGATATTTTTTTAGTTACTGGTGTTTGGTATCTGGGTAAACTTCCTAGTGAAAATTCATGTTGACTATTCTGTGATACATATTTTTTTAGATGCGTTATATTATTTTATTATGCATTTTATTATTCATTATTTTTATTCTTTATTCATTTATTCATTATTATCTTTCTTGCATACCATGATTTTGACTTAAATTAAAAGCAAAAATAGGCATTTTTCTCTACAGTACGCGGGCACTTAAAGCCTTTAGTTTACACAAAAACACCAGGAGTCAAAACCACATCACCTGCTGGAGCTAAGAGATGCATAGACTCCAGTAATTCGAATCTATTAAGTCGCCTCTTATGAGCTATGCAAACAGATTGACATTTATATGAATTATATATGATAAACAAATCTGTCATGTAATTAACCTGTTAATCAGGAAATGCCAGAGTAATCGAGTAATCCAATTTACTGTAATAAAGTATAGAAATATGCCGACAGCTGGGCACGTACTGATATGTATACACACTATGTCAACATGTGTTTTGTTTTTGTAATCATACATATACAGACCTGAAATGCATATACTATTAAAAATGATATGATAAATATTGTGAGGAAAAACACATTTGTTTTGACCACAGAGGTATAAGTTATATAATAAGATTGTTCGAATACGCACGATTGTCACGTGCATGAAAGTGTGTCGAAACGAACATGCACCCTGTACATAAAGTTAAATCATTAACACATTTTACGCTATTTAGTGATTCTAGATAAGCAGGCATCAAACTTCATTGACTTATTCAACATTTCCTCCAGATGTTATGCAAAACAAAAATCACGCCCTTAATTCAATGTTTTTAACATATTTTATCCCAAAAACATACATTCTCAAATATTGGCTACTTTGTTTTAAAAGCTGGATGTAAGTTATATATATTTACTCATTCATTGAAGAGGTATACCTTGAAATTCATACGACATAATGTATATATTGATCTAAAAACATTTTTAACATATTTAATACTTATTCATTTATTTATTTATTATTTATTTATTTATTTATTTATTTATTTATTTATTTATTTATTTATTTATTTATTTATTCATTTATTTATTTACAAAAAAGTCCCCTCGGTCTGCAATTATTGTTATATTGTGTAGTTTATACGTAAAAACGAACTAATCAGATCTTAATTTCACATGTTTTCATTTTCACCAATGCCAGTACATCTCATAATTAATTGCACGTGCCAATGTACATCGAGAATGTAATTCTGTTAATGCGGCACTGTTAATCTATTTAATGTAAAATCGCAGTGGTTCTGCTGTGATTCTTTATTCTTCACTACAAAATGTAAAAAAAAATAACATGATTGATTCCTGTATCAGCATTGAAGCAAATTTATTTATGAATAGTTCACTCCTACCTTCTAAAGTATATAGTTTTCATCTATTTGTGTATTTTTATTAATTTTTGTGTCTACACGTAGATATACTCAAGGTATGAAATCGGTTATTGTTGTATGTACTTGTCTGCAGGTCTATATTGGAGTTATTTATGAATGAAAGTAATACGAAGTGTGTTGTAGAGTGTGGAGGTATAACATATGTTCTTGTACTAAAAACATGAAATCTTGCATATCACAAGCACACTCACAATTGAAGATAAGTTAACTTCTGCTACTAGCTTCCAGTATTTACAAAATGGTTACCTAGGTAACGCAACTTCACAATTGCTGAAATGATGAGAACAAAAAAAAAACCCTCAATGTGTAGATATAATAGAGGTAAAGTAAAGTACAAAAAGATATATTTTATGTGCGTATTTGATCAGTGTGGTTATGATATAGTATTCCTGTTGATCTAAATGTAAGAACTACTTCTGTTCCATAAATATAATCCTAATAAAATACTCAGAACCTAATATACAATTTAAAATTTCACTGCAGGCTGAAATAAAATATTTATAACGAAATATATACATACCCTTGCAGCCATGGAGGTCGTTGGCTTTTCCAAAAGGTTCCACACCTTTTCCCGCCATTTTGCACAAGGTCCTGTACCAAAGTCTTCTGCATCGCGTTGTCGTAAACTTTCCGCCTCTTTGCGAATTTCTTCAAAAACGTTTTCTTTTTTCTGGTGATATTTATGTTGACAACACGATTCTAAATATAACTCGTCGATACCCCAATAATCCAAATCCTCACTGAATGATAATACACACATTTCTTCTACAATATGTAACTTCCCCGTTCGATAAAAATTTAAAATTGAAGCAAATGACCGTGGATGTCGGTCAAAGAAAAACTCTTGTTCTGAGAGGCAATAATCATCACATAATTCCATTAAACTGTCATGCGTGTTACAAAATCTAAGCTTTCCTAATCTCGTATGCGGCATTCTATCTAAGGTCCTCCACATGACTTCATGTTTCGTACCTCCAACATTTAGAATTACCCGTTTCGATAACTCCTTCGCGCGTATTATTGCACTTGGATCAGGGATATAACCCTCCGACGACGGATAAAAACGGTCCGCTGCCGATCCTACGTCCGTCGTCGTCATTGTTGTAATTGCTGAGATATGTTGCACATTTTCAGGTACCGCTACAGGAGCTGTACTTGTTATAAGCGGTGATACAGACACTTTTGTACTCTCAGATTTACTATCTTTGTGCTTACGCGCGCTGCTATCACCTGGTACCGAGAACGATTCACGCTGTCTACTTTGCCGCTCGAGTGAGTAACGTCCAGCTGTTCGGGTACCAGACGGTAAATTCCCGCCAAGTTCGCCGTCCCGTCCCTGACCGGAACTTGAGCTGTGGTAAAACATGATAAACAACAAAGTTTAATAATTATTAGAAAAGAGAGTTCAATTCTATGAGTACAGTCATTAAAGAAGGCGTTACACATTATTGCCACAGGTGGTAAAAATTTTCACGATCAGAAATTAGTCGTGTCTGTCAATATGGCAATCTATTTCCGGCGGAAGTCATGTATTACAATATTTACGCATACATACAAGCATTCCTCTTAAAGGGTCATTTCAGAGTTCAAAGGTCATTCCACAACAACAGGAAGTCACACTGTTTTAGGAACAATCCAGCATTCCAATGTACGACAAAATGTTACAACACTTTTACTTCACTCAGGGGTTTAGTCAAAGCTTTTCTAAGCAAGGAAGGACCACACACAATTGTCTTTTAAGCCTCTTGCATTTTCTTTGTTCAGCTACACCAAATCTTAGTATTTAATGAAAGAAATCGTATTAAGTGATTTTCATATTTCTATATTTCCGTTATTGAAATTGCCCTAATTGGAGAACTTTAAAAACTTTAAATGATAACTTAACTTACAAGAAATAATGTAAAAAAATAAGACAAAAAGTGCAAAAAATTATAATCCTGTGGAGAATATTTGAATAAAAAGAAACTGTGAAAAAGAACGCGGATAAAACATCCATCACAAAGAAATAACGATGTACATGTATATATTTTCTGGGATATATTGCAATACGCCACGTGTCAAAGCAAGTAATAATTAAGATATAGTACTTAGTTGATTGAGCATGTTCTGGGGATAAGTATTGAAGTTCTGATTTTCAAGACATTTTATACTTTTTAACCATTTAAATACAAGCGGAACAAATGACTCCGCTTTGGGCCATTGCGCTCGAACGTGCGGTGTAGTCACAGACGTTGCATTGTTGCCTACCAGTATCCTTTAAAGGGACACTACTGAGTTCGTTTTTGTTGTTGTTTTTGATTTTTGTTGTTGTTGTTTTTTGTGTGTTTTTTTTGACATGGCGGGACTGAAAATATTTTTTCTGAGATTTAACAACCAATTGATTCAGATTTTATCTGATAGCTTGCGTGCAAATATTCAGCTTATTCCCTTACCCCTTTTTCAGAAAAAATCAATTTTATAACCAAAAATGAAAAGCGTTGCAAAGTTTTTCAACCAGCTGAGAATCAAATAAAAAATTGATGTCCAATATTATTATGAGAATATTTCTTTGTAGGTTTTTCCATTTTAAGTGATTTACGTAATGATTAACATAATTTGTGCACTGTTTGATGTTATCCTTATTAGTTTTCTCATAGCATATATTTCTAGTCAGATATTCCAAGGTATTCCCGTGATGAAATTAGAATAAACCATAAATTGATTCTACAGATCATACGGTCGCACAGATTTGGTTTCTTAAAAGAAAATAAGCGTTTACGCTTCTTGGACGCTTAAGCATCTGTCACTTAAAGAATGATAAATGCCAAATATACTCAGTAGCAAAAGAACGTGTGCCTGTGCTTGGAAATTTTGTATATTAAATACATGAGCAAAGTAATTAATTTGGTATAAAAATGTTCAGAAATGCATTGACCTTTCAAGGGTTTGGTTAATAAATTAAAAGTTGCAAAATTGTGATTGTTAACGTTTTTATTATTATCATTATTATTATTATTATTATTATAATATTATTATTCTTATTATCATTATTATTATTATTATTATTATTATTATTATTATTATTATTATTATTATTATTATTATTATTATGGATCAACAGAAATGTTCGTGACTGCATGGACCTGACGTAACGCCATATGATGTTCCATTCAAAATTTTAAGGAACGCATTTACAAATGGTGCAATTCTTCAATTTTATTTTTCACCACTAAGCTGTAATCAAAAATCCCACGTAATCAAAATTACGATAATAATAAAATTTCAATTAGATATAAATCATCGTGTAGTCAATACAGTTCTGCCAATTTTGATACCAAATATGATTCTTATTTGCTAAGTTTACAACATTTCCATGTAACCAAGTGCACACTGTCTTTTGCAACGCGTTATTGTCTGATTTTGTTTGTGGTAATATCCATTGTACATAAAAAAAGCGAAACATCTTAAAAAACTATAATCATTGTTAAGGTCCGTTAAATGGTATAAAGTAATATGTAATGGGTTTTTTTTATAAAAATTATAAACTATAAAAATATGTTGTTCTCATTATATTATGATTGACTGTTGAATGAGTTTTAACAGAATGTCTCTTTTATTTAACACGCATGAATGAATAAACTGTTTCAGAACAAAATATTATGCTACCACTTTGAGTAGGATTTTAACGGTTAAGCTATGTTTTTCTGCATGTGTCATTTGTTTTAAAGAAACCATGCAATCATATTGCTTACATACAGGTATTTTAGAAGTACTTTTTTTCAAAATTCAAAATATATTTTTCTTACAGCAGATGTATAGCTAATACACTTTGTATGTGAGAAGTTAGCAGTTAACAGTGAGCTAAGCAAAAAGGCATTACGATTTATATAGGGAAATCAATGATCTGCTGTTATGCTCAGCTGGGTAAGCAATCTAGCAGAGCATTCCAAAATGAAGTGTAGAAATGCTTTGCTGGTATGCTCAGCTGGGTAAGCAATCTAGCAGGCCATTACTAAATATAGTGTAAAAATGCGATGCTGGTATGCTCAGCTGGCTAGGCAATCTAGCGGGGCGTTCCAAAATATAGCGTAACAATGCTCTGCTGGTATGCTCAGCTGGCTAGGCAATCTAGCAGGGCATTCCTAAATATAGTGTAAAAACTCTGCTGTTATACTCAGCTGGTTAAGCAATCTAGCGGAGCATTCCAAAATAGTGTAAAAAGCTCTGCTGTTATGCTTAGCTGGCTAAGCGATCTAGCGGGGCATTCCAAAATATAGTGTAAAAATGCTCTGCTGTTATGCTCAGCAGGCTAAGCAATCTAGCGGGGCATTCCAAAATATAGTGTAAACATGATCTGCTCGTATGCTCAGCTGGCTAGGCAACCTAGCAAGGCATTCCTAAATATAGTGTAAAAATGCTTAGCTGTAATGCTCAGCTGGCTAAGCAATCTAGCAGAACATTCCAAAATATAGTGTAGAAATGCTTTGCTGGTATGCTCAGCTGGGTAAGCAATCTAGCAGGCCATTACTAAATATAGTGTAAAAATGCTCTGCTGGTATGCTCAGCTGGCTAGGCAATCTAGCGGGGCGTTCCAAAATATAGCGTAACAATGCTCTGCTCGTATGCTCAGCTGGCTAGGCAATCTAGCAGGGCATTCCTAAATATAGTGTAAAAAACTCTGCTGTTATACTCAGATGGTTAAGCAATCTAGCGGAGCATTCCAAAATAGTGTAAAAAGCTCTGCTGTTATGCTCAGCTGGCTAAGCGATCTAGCGGGGCATTCCAAAATATAGTGTAAAAATGCTCTGCTGTTATGCTCAGCTGGCTAAGCAATCTAGCGGGGCATTCCAAAATTTAGTGTAAACATGATCTGCTCGTATGCTCAGCTGGCTAGGCAACCTAGCAAGGCATTCCTAAATATAGTGTAAAAATGCTTAGCTGTAATGCTCAGCTGGCTAAGCAATCTAGCGGAACATTCCAAAATATAGTGTAAAAATGCTCTGCTGAATTGCTCAGCTGGCTAGGCAATCTAGAAGGGCATTCCTAAATATAGTGTTAAAAATGCTCAGCTGGCTAGGCAATCCAGCAGAGCATTCCTAAATATAGTGTAAAAATGATCTGCTGGCAAGCTCAGCTGGCTAAGCAATCTAGCAGAGTGTTCCAAAATATAGTGCGAAAAATGCTCTGCTGGTATGCTCAGCTAGCTTAGCAGTCTAGCAGGGCATTCCTAAATATAGTGTTAAAAATGCTCAGCTGGCTAGGCAATCCAGCAAAGCATTCTGAAAATTAGTGTAAAAATATTCTGCCGGAATGCTGAGCTGTCTAGGCAAACTAGCAGGGCATTCTTAAATAAAGTATACATTTCGTTTGTATACAACTTTTTATTTGGCACTCGTAGACTTTCTGAAATATTTAGTGCCAATGCAGATAATGACATTTTTTACTTCTACGGGACCCTCAAGTGTCTATTTCTTTGGTCTCCGACTGATTCTTGGACGATCGCAGACTTTCAGGAATTTTTGGTATTAATGCATAAAATGACATTTGTGAATTTATAGGACCATCCAGAGTCCATTTCGTTGGTCTGTGAATGTTTCTGGAACACTCGCAGACTTTCAGAAATTGTCGGTGCCAATGGAGATAATGACATTTTTACTTCAAAAGGACCCTCCTGAGTCTATTTCGTTGGTCTGCGACTGATTCTGAGTCACTCTCAGACTTTCAGGAATTGTGGTGTCAATGCAGAAAATGATATTTCTGACTTATTGGGACCTTTCTGAATCCATTTTATTGGTCTGCGACTGATTCTGAGGCACTCACAGACTTTCAGGATTTTTTGATGTCAAGGCAGATAATGACATATTGTACTTCTAGGGACCATCCAGGGTCCATTTTTTTGGTCTGCGACTTAATCCTGGACAGTCACAGACTTTCAGGAATTGTTGGTGCCAATAGAGATAATTACAATTTATGACATTTTTGACCATCCAGAGTCTTTTTTGTTGGTCTGCGACTGAATATAGGGCACTTGCAGACTTTCAGAAATTTTTGGTGCTAATGCAGATAATGACATTTTAGGGTAAAAATGCTCTGCTTATGACTAAGGGGTCCTTAAAAGTAAAAAAGTCATGATCTGCAATGGCACTAAACATCCTGAAAGTCTGCGAGTCTCAAGGAATCAGTCGCAGACCCAAGAAATGTACTCTGGCGGTTCCCTAAATGTCAGAAATGTCATTATCTCTATTGGCATCAAAGTTCCTGAAAGTCTGCAAGTGTCCCAAAATCAGTCGCAGACCAGCGAAATGAACTCTGGGATGTCAAAAATGTCATTATCTCCATTGGCACCAGAGATTCCTGAAAGTCTGCGAATGTC